TTTAATTGTCCATGCTCCTTTTGCATGTTTCACAAAACTGAGCAGCTGCTACACACACATACACACAAATACACATTAGCTACACACATGAAAAAAGTAAAAGGTGTCAGATTTGATGGAATCTCTGGTGTATCATTTCTACATACTTCTGCAATTCACACAGGAGGACCAGTGTTATAGATTTAAATAAGCTAATAAGTGAGGCTCTATTTTTGAAAAGGGAAGCAAATAAACACTGCTGTGAAGCCAAAGTTTATTGCCTAACAGATTCAAAAGATAAAACATACACACATACATAGAAGAAATGCTGGAAACATGCTAAATGAAATGTGCCAGTCATAAAAGAGCACATTGTAATGGTTTCCTATATGTTAAATGCCCAGAATAGTAAGTAAATAATATAAAGCAAATTGGTGGTTCCCAGGGCTCAGAGGTGGAAATAAGTATAGGATTTGAATTGTACATCCAAATGAGTCAATTGTCCAGCATGTAATTTATATCACTAAACCTGTTATTTTTTGAAGAATATATATTCAACAAGTACAAGATCACAAAATTAACATTTAATGTTTTAATTATTTAATCTGCTGGCTTTTTTTTTTTTTTTTGGCCAGTTGTGGGGCTTGAACTCAGGGCCTGGGCGCTGTCTGTCAGCCCTTCAGCTCAAGGCCAGTTCTCTATCACCTGAGCCACAGTGTCACTTCATTTTCTAGTGGTTTATTGGAGAAAAGAGTCTCACACTTTCTTGCCTGGACTGGCTTTGAACTGCAATCTTCAGATGTCAGCCTCCTGAGTAGCTAGCATTGCAGGCGTGAGCCACCAGTGCTGGCATTGTCAGGAGTTCTTCAACATGAAATGACTTTAAGAAAAACTCATCAGGGCTGGGAAGGTGGCTCAGTGGTAGAGCGCTTGCCTTGCATGCATGAGGCCCTGGATTGGTTCCTGAGCACCACATAAGCAAAAAAAAAAAAAAAAAGACAGAAGTGGCGCTGTAGCTCAAGTGGTAGAGCGCTAGCCTTGAGCTGAAGAGCTGAGGGACAGCGCCCAGGCCCAGAGTTCAGGCCCCAGGATCAGACCCGTGCCCCCCCCCCCCCCGAAAAAAAAAGAAAAACTCATGCTAGAGATATATCTCAGCGGTAGCAAGTTTGCCAGCATGTGTAAGGTTCTGGATTTGATCCCCAGCATCACAAAAGTAATTATAAAATGCAATTTTATTATGATGGTTGCTATATTTTTAGTAATTACTGTTCCCCCAAGACGGGGAGGATAGATTGACAGCAGAGCAATATTTACCTCAGTTTACACATACAGACAGACTGAGAAGAAAACATCTATAAGCTCTGGAATTTTTTTCTGGGACAATAATTGAACTTTTATTTTCAGTGTCTGTGAGAGGGGGGTTATATGAAACGACAGTAGGCTGGGCCTGAAAACTGGATTGCAAAAGAATTTAGCTGAAAAACTGGACACTTATGACACAGGCAGCTGGGTGGAATCAGGGAGTGTGCTGACAGCATATTAGTCACCAGATAAATAAAAACTTCCTAGCCTTACCTGTTGAGAACACCTGAATTTTATTTATTTATTTTTGTCGGCTGTAGGGCTTGAACTCGAGGGCCTGCACACTGTCCCTGAGCTTTTGTGCTCAAGGCTAGCGTTCTACCGGTTTGGGGGACAGCTCCACTCCTGATTTTCTGGTGGCTAATTGAAGATGAGACTCGCAGACTTTCCTGGCTAGGCTAGCTTTGCACAGGGATTCTCCGCTCGCTCCTTTCAGAAATCCCCGTCACTTACAGGGAAATTTTATGAAGTTAAACAATTTAATGTTACCCATACCACCGATTTCCTAAGAACACGCACACACAATCCAGGAAATAATTGCACCCTAAACCGAAGGTGATCGGATTGAAACTTATGCCATCTGAAAATGGCATGAAAGCAAACATGCCCAATTTTTACAGCATCAAACCGTCAGCTCTGTACCTGTGGCACTAAAGGGTCAATTTAAAAAATCCTTTTTTTGTATCTTAAAAAAGGGTGAATGCCAAAGGGGGTTGCTTTTCGTGAACCACACGGGTCCTGTGCGCTCGTGTGAACTTCACGGCTGCCTCACGATGCCCACACACCGCGGGACGGAGGCCGGCTGACTAGGCCTGCCTTTCTCCTCTTCCTAAGCAGGGTCGGGCTGGAGGTCGGCCCTACGGCGACAAAACCTAGCAACACAAGGGAAATAAGACAACGAACGCCCGAGCAAACCCACGGCGGCCACCCAGGGTCGGGCGTCCGGCCGGACCCCGCCGGGCCCCGACTACAATTCCGGGCCGAGCCACCCGCGGCCCGGCCGCCCAGGCGCTCGGGGAAGACGCCGACTCCGCTCGGCTCGCGGCGAGCACCCTTCCTTCCGTCTGCCCTGCGTCCGCTCTCCCTCCCTCCGCCCTCCCGCTGCTTCCTTCCGTCCTTCCTTCCCGTCTTCCGTCCACTCTTCCTTCCCAGAAGCCGAGCGGGGGCTTTCCGCGGACCCCCCCCCCCCACACACACCCGGAACCGGAAGAGCGACCATCTTCCGGACCCCCCCGACCGGAAGTGGGGCGGCCCGCGAGCGCACTCACCCCGGAGGAGTAGGACGCCCATGAGGGCAGAGAAGGCGCAGCCCCGGCCTCCAGCGGCTCCGCTCGGCGGCATCCCGGCTGCTCCTCAGGTACCTGCACACCTTGTTTACCGCTCGCTCCCAGGTGGGCCCCACGCACACTGGTGGCGCCGGAAGTGACGTCAGGGAGCGAGGCTGAGGGAACACCTAAAATGGCTCCTTCCCAAAATCTTTCCCTGGCCCGTACTTAGGACTTGCCTGCTGGCTTTTGCTTAACACTGAAGGAGGTCACAGACTCTGGGGAAGCTTGTGCTTTTATCTGTAGTGGTATGCTAATTTTGATCCTGACTCTTGCAGGATTTTATACCTCCAGATCATTTAATTGAACCCTCAAAAGCCCCATAAATGTAGAGTTCATAGAGATCTCAGTACATACTGGATCAGTCAACAGATCAATCTGTATTAGGCCTAATACATGTTTTTGTGCCTCATCTTTCTTTGGTTCCTTTCCTTTTAAATGTTGCAAAGACAGTGTCCAGAATTAGGTGTTTACTAAATTACTGTTGACAGTGATGATGGTTCAAGTCCTTACAGCACGTATTAAGATGTAAAGGTAGTGGGGTTTGTGTTGCAGTTTTACATTTTTTCAACTGCCAGCCCTTTACTAGACTTGAAAGTAGTTAACCTCTCTTAACAGTAATGCAAGAATAGCAGATACAATCGTTGGTACCGTTCAGGAATCCTCAAACTCGCCAGGCGTGGTGGTACATGCCTCTAATCTCAGCACTGAGGGAGGCTCTAGCAGGACAGGCTCAAGTTCCACATCAGCCTGAAAATATTCCCCATCTAGATAGCTTATAAAGCTCAGTTCCCATCTAGCCAGAGCAATGTGAAAATTCTACGGAAACCCATATATTTTCATTTATCCAGCAAAAATCCATTACTTACTCCCAAGTGATCTCTAATAAAAAAGTTTTACTGAAGGTACAATATCCCCGTTTTTATGCTATCTGCTATATAAAAATTTCAGATGTGTACATAAGCAAATAACTTTATTACTAATATTTTATTTACACAGTTTAAGGCATAAAAATAAGTTACAATACAAAAGTGACCTTCAAAAGTAACCTTCACGAACGAAACACTAAACAAGGTCATATTATCCCCTTCAGTCTAGCCAAGAAACAGCTACAGGAATGCTGGAAAAAGTCTCCATGAGTTTTTCACTACTTTGTTACACCGATGGAATATCATGCAGGTCATCTATTTGAAGAAATACCCAGTTTTACTTACATAGGTTGAATTATGAAGAAAAGTATAAAAACGTGGATTAAAGGTAATACAGACTCCAGATCCAATTTTTAGCCTCAAAACCAAGCAGTGAAAGTTCACCTTTTTAGGCTGTATAAAAGCAGGAGTCAGGTATGGAATGGATCTCAGAATCATGGTACATATGTAAATTATACCAAATTTTAAAAAATAATATTGGAAAAAATCAAGTTCTAACATCCTCAAACAATCTATTTGAAAATATATTGATATAAAGGATGCTGAGGTTTGGTAAAAGGAAATCCATATGCAACCCAGTCAATGCAAACAAAATATCAGGCTGTACAGATGAGACTTTTCAACTTTTCTATCCTTTGAACAAATGCTGCTACGCTTAAATTTGGAATGGCATCAGGTAAATAGACTCTTTTTCAAAAAGCACATGTTTCTCCAAAGCCCACTTATAAAGTTTACTATTTCTACAAATTTATGGGCAAAAGAAGTTTTATTCGTTACAGTATTTTAGCAGTTTCTTTGCTCAATATAAAATTTTTACTCTTTTAAGCAACTAAATTTCAAACAAAAGACATTTTAAGTAAAAGAAAAAAAAAGTAATCTCTTCCAGTTTCAGATGTTTGTGTAATGCTAGACAAAACTCAACCATTTGGGGCTGGTCTTTTTTCACCAGCCTTAAGTTTTTTTGTGTTACAGCATACTGGTTCACACTCCTAGTAAGCTGCTTATTCATTCCAGTCTGCAATGAGCACAAAGTTCACTGTTTTGGTACAGATTCAATACATGGGAGGGACATATTAAGCTACACAGTCACTGCTTGTGAAAGACCTACATTGTAGATTGTAAATTTACATTGTGTTTTTCACAATATAGAAAAATGTGATGAGTGATTCATCCTGAGATAACATTTGCCAGTAATCATTGACATAACCTTTTGTGTTACATCAACCAGTTGTAAACCTTGGATTCATTGATGACAATCACACAATAAAAACTAAAAAACTTTCTACCTGGAATACTGAAAGAAACCCAATAAAACAAGATATATTGAATACTTAGGAAAGCCATAAAAATCAAAATTAATGGTTTAAATTTTGGATTTACTGTCAATCAAAACCAAGAGACTGAAATATGAGAAGGAAGGATAACAAATTCTAACTTTAGTAGCAAGAATGCTGCTGTAAAGAAACCAGTATGTAAAAGGAAACTGCAGATAAGTGGCTTTTATCCCCTTTTGATGCTAGTATGTGTGCGCACAAAGTCATACTCCAGGAGTGTTTAAAGGCAAAAAATGTAGCTTCTTAGTTTACAAACTAACACAAAACATTTGAAAAACTATTCACATTCTGAAATTAAATAAAATGTTCCTAATGAGTCTGTGTGAGTCTTGTGTTTGTTCAAGAGCCCTGTGCTGCCTGCAGGGGGACATTGCTTATCAGGTGGGTATACACTGCAGAAATTGTAGGAAGACAGGCCATAACTGGAAAAGCCAAATGAAAATTTCCATTAACTTCAGGCAGTATTAACTGCAAGGAATGTTAGGATCCTTGTTCTTGGAATTCTTCAGCTTCCTGAAATATAAAAGTTTTAAATGGATTATATATTTGGGAAGACTACATAAGGATACTTGGCATTATGGATTATATGCTTAAATCTATTCTATTATTAAATCTATTCTCCATTGCCTAAGGAAAATATTCTTAAACTTATTCTCCTGTTTTAGTTTTTAATAAAAAACATCCTTGTCATGGGAAGGGATGGGAAGGGGAAACAAAGGAGGAGGCTACAATGCTTGATAAAAAAATGTACTCATTATCTTGCCCATGTAATTGTAACCCCTCTGTACAGTATTTTCATACACACACACAAAAAATCCTTGTCACATGGTTCCCAGATCAGTGCCCTTTATTTTATAGCCTCTGGGGATCTAGGAAGGACACTGGAATGATCCACAGTTCAGTCACCTGTTCACATTCCATGCCTGCCCCTCCTTCTCCCAAGTAAATAAAAATCAAAGATTCAGAAAAGGAGAAAAGACAATATTTGGAATTCTTCTATCACCTAATTTTTAAGGATTGTTTCTGCAAACGTTTTTAAGCAAATTACTGGTCCTTACAATTTCATGGTGCTTTTATGTTGCTGTTGTTTGTTTAGTTTCTTTGAATAGGGGTTCCTGTATATAGCCTAGACTCACCTCACATTCACTATATAGGCCATGCTAGCCTTAAACTTGCATTGGTCCTCAGCCTCCCACATGCTAGAATTACAGGCATGTTTCTCCATGCCCAGCCTTCCACTGTGCTTTTTTAAAATAGAGACATTTTCCTATGTAATGAAAAATAATTCCCTAGGGTTATCCATATTCAGTATTTCCATATTTAAAAGTTTCTTAATTGCCCATCCAGATTTTTTTACATTTACTTTATTCTAACTTATGTCCATCCATTCAGGGATCAAAGTGCATTTAATATTATCTTTTTTTTTTTAAATCTGATAGCTTATTTCTTTTTCTTTTCAGAAGCTGGTGTTTACTAGGTAAGTGTTAAACAACTAACTTAAGCCATACACCCAACTTTTAATCTGACTTGTTAAGAGATTCTGCTTGATTTTTATTTTTATTTTTTTTGGGGGGGTGTCCGGTTGTAGGGCCTGAACTCTGGGCCTAGGCACTGTCCCTCAGCTCTTCAGCTCAAGGCTAGCACTCTACCACGTGAGCCACAGCACCACTTTAGCTTTTTTCTTTTTGCTTATGTGGTGCTGAGGAATCGAACCCAGGGCCTCTGGCATGCAAGGCAAGCACTCTACCACTGAGCCACCTTCCCAGCACCTCTGCTTGACTTTTTTTTTTTTTTTTTGCTACAAAAGCTTTATTTTCATTTGATCCAAGTCTGCTTGACTTTTAAAAGACAATTATCTTCGGTAAGAAATCCAAATTTGGTTTTCTATTTTTATAAAATAGTCACTTTATATTAGGTTTTACAAATAAAATTGTAGCTTTAGCCTATAAAATGTGACTGTCAACTAATAAGTCCTCTCAATTAGAATGAGATTTTACAGATTAAAGTTATTAATAGCAAAAATATTCCTTTTTTTTAGCAAAAATATTCTTGTGTCATAAAGTCGTTTGTATTTACATCTAGAGATCAAATGTATTAGACTTCAGAGAATGGGAGAAATTCTGAGCATAGGAAAAATACTGTATCTTTCCATTTAAGCATGATAAACCAGAAAACTAGAAAGACAGCTTTATCATAAGTGAACTAGATTTACAGTATAATAGCTAAATGAGGAATTGAAATGAATTCCAAATAGTACAAAAGTTCTTTTGTCAAAATGCTATGGGTATCTTATTATTTTGCTCTCTCAGTGTCATGACTAGGTTGCAGTATTGAAAAACAGTAATCTCTTCATGTAAAAAAATTTTTTTAGCTGGTCATAGTAGCTACGATTTGCTCACACTTATAATCCTAGCTACTCAGGTGGCCTATAGTAGAAAGCTACAGTTTTGAGGCCAGCCTAGGAAAAAAAAGTTCTTAAGATTCCCCCATTTCAGCCAATGAAAAGCTGGGTTCAGTGGTTCATGTCTGTCACTGCAGTGTGTAGGACCCCTAAAAAGGATAGTCTTCACATAAGCAAGCCCATAAACGCCTTATCTGAAAAAAAAACTACTGCCAAAAGAGCTAAGGATGTTGTTCAAGTGGTAGAGTGTCTAGCAAGTTCAAGGCCCTGAGTTCAAATCTAATACTGCTCCCTAAAAAATGACTGACACATTAAAAGTTTATTATTAATAATAAAATTATATTTTTTAAAGAATTTTATTGGTGTTAGTATATATAACCCCAAAGCTTCTAAAACCTTGAGAATTATCTCAGCTTTAGTGGCAAAGTCTAGTTTATTAATTCTTGGAGAAAGTACAGCAAAGGAAGATGTCATCATTTTATTAATAAGATACCCTGGCCACTGCCTCTAACTTCATTTAGGAAACAACTCATAGCCACATAAGTTAATCTGGAGATGGCCCAGATAGGTCAAAAAGTGGAGGAAAGGAATCAACCCCTTAGTGAAGCTTACCATCTAGGAATGTTAGTCTGTATCTTCTAAAAACACAGAGACCTTGTTTTCTTGGTTGAGCTTTTCTTCTTCTTTTCTGTAACAAAACAGAACCCAAATGTCAAGTGAATAGACAAGAAACAAAGTGGGGGAAGTGGTGCTGTGGCTCAAAGTGATTGAGTGCTAGCCTTGAACAAGACTGCAAGGACAGCACCCAGGCCCCAAGTTTAAGACCCACAACCGACCAAGAAAGAAAAACGGGGAAATCCTATAGAAATATCAGGTAATGTGTTTTTTCCCCATATCTTGGGAAGAATTACACAAACCTAGGAGCGAAACAACTACTCATGCCCCATAACCAGTTAACACTCCTTGACCTGTCTTGGCCATCCGAACTTAAGATTCTTTTCAGAATGTCTGAGATCTGATTTTGGAAGTCTAGAAATTTATAGGACACACTTTACTTCAACATTGGTTATTTTGCCTCTCATTCCTACTCTTGTTCAGAATATGTTTTGTGTTGACTAGAAGACTTCTTATTGTTTATATTCTATTCAAACTAGGATTCAGAGATGGGTTTCTTTTTTTGTTTTTTTCCTCTAATTTTTTTAAAATTGTTTTCGTAAAAGTGATATACAGAAGCGTTAAGTTACACAAGTCAGGTAATGTGTACATTTCTTTTGGACAATGTCACCCTTCCCTCACTTTCTCCCAGTTTTCCCTCCTGTCCCCACTCACAAGCTGTATAGTTCATTTTCAACATACTGTCTAGTGAGTACCACTGCTGCATTTGTTCACCCTTTGTCCCTCCATTTCTGTGTCCCGCCCCAACTTCCCAAAGACAGATAAATAAACAAACAAGACAAAAAGAAAAGAAAAACAACAGGCTGACTTCTGGGTAGCTTAAAGAGGAGAAACAGGAGCTCAGACTTTAGACTCATGACATTTTCTGAATCTTTGGCTTTTTCAAGACTGCAAATTTTCCTGGCCTTCTCAGGAGCAACTTCTCCGCTGCCAGTGGGCCTCTCAGACACCCTTAACCAAAGCCTGACCCCAGAATCTGTTCTGGTGGATGAGGAAGAGAATTCCCCAAGTGGACCAGAGCCCACTCCTCTTCTTCCAGAATCCTCAACATCTTTAATAACAGACCTTCAGAGGTTGACTCTGCACCCGTGCACCAGCCTCCTGTCTCCTCAAGCCCAGCCCTCAGCATCAGGAAAGAAAGGCTCTTACAGCCGGCAGATGCTGCCTTTCCTAAAGCTGGGATCCAGAGAGTGTTACTGGAGCAGGAAAAAAATCTGGCCCACTTGAGATATGTCCTTAAAAACAGATATTCACAAATTCAAGAGCTTCTAGAGGACCCCATCATAGTGCTTCTGGAAACTCCACCCAGGTGCCCTCTCAGATGGCCCACAAGGACAACTCCATGTGTGGTGGTCCACCACCCTCACCATCCTCTCTCAGAATTCTCATAAAGCATGGCGGCGGTATATCACAGCTTTGTGCTCAGCAACAAGCTCCCTGACCTTGCACCCCTCAGCAGGCCAGAAATGCTGGCCCAGAGCAACAGAGATGGATTGACCTTAAGGCAGAGGAGTCGAAAGCTGGCAAACTGGAGATTTTCTCCAACTAAAGAAAGGCCATTCCAATGTACCTGCAGCTTCTGCTTGACTAATGATAGGGACCCTTCAGAAAATGCAAGATTAGGGGCTAATAATGGCAAAGAGTCCTAGTAAGCCGGGCGCTGGTGGCTCACGCTTGTAATCCTAGCTACTAAGGAGGCTGAGATCTGAGGATCGCGGTTCAAAGCCAGCCCAGGCAGGGGAGACCGTGAGACTCCTATCTCCAATAAACCACCAGAAAACCGGAAGTGGCACTGTAGCTCAAGTGGTAGAGCGCTCGCCTTGAGCTGAAGAGCTGAGGGACAGCGCCCAGGCCCAGAGTTCAAGCCCCACGACCGACAAAAAAAAAAAAGAGTCCTAGTAAGTGACAGGTGTCAATCACTTGATAATTAAATATAACCTATTGTCAAAGCTCCTGGATGCTACAAGACACTGATTTTATATGCCAAGAATTTTGAAGATCTTGCGTGTCCTGTGATTTGGTTTTCTAGCTTTTTGAGGTTTTTTTTTTTCCTTTCTTTTTTGAAAATTTTTATTGTTATTATGAAGATGATATACAGAGGGGCTACATTTATAAGTCAAGTAGAGAGTACACTTCTTTTTGGACCATGTCACCCCTTCCCTTCCCTCGCTCTCTCCTGTCCCCATCCACAAGTTTTTTTTGTTTTTTGGGTCCGGTCGTGGGGCCTGAACTCTGGGCCTGGGTGCTGTCCCTCAGCTCTTCAGCTCAAGGTTAGCACTCTACCACTCCGGCTTTTTTCTTATGTGGTGCTGAGGAATCGAACCCAGGGCCTCGAGCATGCAAGGCAAGTGCTCTACCACTGAGCCACCTTCCCAGCCCCAAGTTTTTTGTTTTTTATTTGGTCCTGTGGATATCTCTTCCTACTTCAATGTCAATAATTTGTTTTCTAAAGTCTAGGAGAGGTGAAGTCGTTATTTGAAGACATGTAAACCATACTGATTTAGGTGTTGGGTAATGAGTAGAAAAGATGACTGACATTTTCTGGTTGTCAAGTATTTGAGCTTTAATAAATGGAGATTTTGATGCATTAGTGTAAATAGTAGTAAATAAATGTGCACATAAGGAACTTGTCCTTGTTTCTATTTCCTGGGGTTCATTTCAATAAATATTGTTTTATATGATCAGAGGTACTGCACCTTTGTGTTCCCCTTCTAGGAGTATCCTCCTTTAGGAGGTTGGTTTCTTAAACTCTTTAAATTGATTAAATTTATTTCAGTAAATATTTACTGAGGAAAAGAAACAAATGGTGCCAGCACAGCTATATACCCAGAATCTTTCCATTTAAGAAAGAATTGGAACTCTTACCTCAACAACAGACAAATCTAATTCAAGGCAGGGATGGGAGGGAGAAATTGGGGGGAAGCAAAAGGAGAGCTAACATCCAAAAAGCAGTGTATTCACTATTTGACTTATGAAACTGTAACCGCTCTGTACACCTTAATAATAACAATAGAATTGTATTTTTAAATTCAAAATGGATCAAAGCCCTGACTTTAAGAACTAAAACTATATATCTCTTAGAAGAAAATGTATAACATTCATGATATTGGATTAGGCACAAAAGAGCCAGCAACAAAAGAAACAGATTAAGTTGGACTTAAACAAAACATAAGACTTGTGCCTTAAAGGACATTGAACAAAAGAAGTAAAAAGCAGAATGGGAAAACCAATTATAAATCATATATTTGATAAGGGATTGGTATTGAAAATACATAAAAAAACTCAACTAAACAATAAAAACACATTAACCAACCCAGTTATAAGGCAAGCAGGCTCTGAATAGTTCTGCGGGTAAGCTGTACAGAGAGCCACAAACAGGAAGCTCAGCATTATCCATCATTATGAAAATGCAGATTAAAACGTCAGATACTACTTCATGTCCACTAGATGGCTTTAATTTTAAAAAAAAAATGTTTTAAGACAATAACCAGGTTTAGTGAGGGTATGGAGAAGTTAGAATTCCCATACATTGCTGACAGGGATGTAAAATATAACTGTTTGGGGAAACAGTCTGGCTATTATTCCTCCAAAAAATGAGACAATTACCATAAGACTCAAAAGAGTTGAAAACTGGTCTACACAAAAACTTGCAGGTGTCTGTTGATAGCAGCATTAGTTATATACCAAAGAGAAGAGGGAATAAACCCTAAATGCCCATCAGTTGACAAATAGATAAATAATATGTAATATGGAAGATTATGCAGCCATTAAGTATTAATGAGCCAGATGCTGGTGGCTCACATCTGTAATCCTAGCTACTCAGGAGGCTGAGATCTGAGGATGACAATTCTAAGCAAGCCCAGGCAGGGAAGTCTATGAGACTCCTCTCCAATAAAGAATAAAAAGCTAGAAGTGGGCTGGGAAGGTGGCTCAGTGGTAGAGCACTTGCCTTGCATGCATGAGGCCCTGGGTTCGATTCTTCAGCACCACATTAGCAAAAAGAAAAAAGCCGGAAGTGGCGCTGTGGCTCAAGTGGTAGAGTGCTAGCCTTGAGCTGAAGAGCTGAGGGAGAGTGCTCAGACCCAGAGTTCAGGCCCCACGACCAGACCCAAAAAAAAAAAAAAAAAAGCTACAAGTGGAGCTTTGGCTTAAGTGGTAAAACTAGCCTTGACCAAAAGAAGCATAAGGACAGCACCCAAGCCCTGAGTTCAAGCCCCAGGACTGGCACACAAACACACAAAAAAGTATTGTTGAAGTACTAATATACACATTAATGAATGTTAAAAATATTAAATGAAAAAAGTTAAATATAATAGGCTACATATTTTATGATTCTAGTAACAGGAAATGTCCAGGACAGGCAAGCTCCCATAGATAAGCGGGTCTGGGGCTGGTGAGAGAGGAGAATAGGGAGTAATAGCTGAAAGGAATGCAGTTTCTTGGAACGGTAGGGATTTTAGAAAAGTGAGCAGGTTAAAGGTTAACATTAAATGGTTGTTACACAACTGCAAATTTTGTAGTATTTGAGTTTATCTCAATTTAGAAATGCTTTTTGAGCATTTCTCAATTGGCTGTCGGCTTAGCAGATCACTAATACTTAGCCACCCTGCTGACTTCCTAGTCCTGTCTTTAGAAATGTATATTTCACTTTAAAAGCAAGGGACATTTTAGAAAAACTTAAAAAGCAAATTTTATAGCACCAAATCCCATATTGTAAAGAAAGTATACATTGAAATCTTTTGCAAAATTAAAAAACCTTTTGCAGAGTTACTCTTTACTCCTTAATTAATCTGTCCTGTGAATTAGCATTCTTTCACACAGGCTTTACTCAAAGGGAAAAACATGTTCAACAATGTGGCCCCATCACACAATACCAAGAGTCACCATAAGAAAGTGTTAAAGACTTTCCCATCAGCGCCCAGCCTTACGATTTTATCTCCATCACTCTATGAGCTCTCTCAGCCCGTCGCTTTTTCCGAAAGTGCTGGAAGAGGACGACCAGGATTACTATGATGATCATCAGCGCACAGGCACAGCCAATGGCCAGAGCCAGGAAATAGATCTCAGAGAAGGCCACTATAAGGGGGGAAAAAAGAGATCAGGTGATCAACTCAAGATTCCATAAAGAACTATGACGGTCAGGCACTGGTTGTTTATGTCTGTAATCCTAGCTACTCAGGAAGCTGAGATCTCAGGATCATTTTTTAAAGCCAGCCTGGGCAGGAAAGTCTGTGAGACTCTCATCTCCAACAAAAAAGCCAGAAGTGGAGCTGTAGCTCAAGTGGTAGACCACCAGCCTTAAGCAAAGGAAACTCAAGAACAGCATCCAGGCACTGAGTTTGAGGCCAAGGACTGGCATGGCATGCATGCATGTGCACACATGCACATGCGTGTACGTCTACACACACACACACACACACACACACACACACACAAAAGAACTGATGAAATCTGAAGGCAAATAGCATACATCATTCAATGGAACCTTCCTTTTTCCTGCCTCTATGTATAAAATATCATGTTACCCTGTTAAACTATAACAGACAGCCCCACAGAACTGCTGCAGTGGATCTTAAAGCATAATCCTAGGGGTATCAGCAATAGTAGCACTTGAAAACTCTGAAATGAAAAATCTCAGGCCCAGCTCTACTGGATTACAAATGGGGCCAGCAGCCTATGCTTCAGCATGTCTTTCAGGTGACCAAGATGACACTAAAGCTTAGAGAACCAGTGAGTCCGATGACTGCCTAGGAGGGCAATGGTACTACTAACTGAATCAGACCTAGTGCCCAGCCATTTCTCCCTTAGGTGCCATCTCTATCAGTCAGTCAGTCATTTACTCAGATTTATTAAGGGCCTGCTATTTTCCAGACACTGTAATAGCCAAGGAAAGCCAAAACAAAAATTATTTTCAAGGAGTTCTTGTTCCTTAGGAAGATAAGTAAATCAGTAACTACAGTCTAGGAAACAAGTAAGCAAGGAACCCAGAGGGAAGAAGGGTCCCTAACTAGACTCAAGTCTATAACACCTGCTTCTGTCCTTTCATTTGATTTCTGATTTGCTCTTCAATAAACGCTCAGAGGGCTGGGAAGGTGGCTCAGTAGTAGAGCACTTGCCTTGCATGCATGAGGCCCTGAGTTCAATTTCTTAGCACCACATAAGCAGAAAAGGCTGGAAGTGGCACTGTGGCTCAAGTGGTAGGGTGCTAGCCCTGAGCTGAAGAACTGAGGGACAGCGCCCAGGCCCAGAGTTCAGGCCCCATGACCAACAAAAAAATAAACCAATAAACAGAGCCAGAAAAGATATTTGAGAATGTCAAGCCTAGGAGTTTCCAGCCTAGAATCTCCCCCAAGAAGGATGGAAAGAAGACAGGTGTGTACACTCATAAAGACAGCACTTGGGAAGGAGAGGCAGGTGGATCACATGTTCAATGTCAGCCTCAGCTACAAAGCCAGACTCCTATCTCAAAAAAGGAGAGGAGGATAGAGAATTGAGATGAACTATGAACCTACATACTCCCATGTCTCATTGGTATACCTCCATTTTTTGTGGGTGGGAAACAGGGCCATAGATACTCAATAGATTATTTTCATTTGATTCTTGAGACTCTTTTTTTTTGGGGGGGGGTCCAGTCGTGGGGTCTGAACTCTGGGCCTGGGCGCTGTCCCTCAGCTCTTCAGCTCAAGTGGTAGAGTACTAGCCACTTCCGGCTTTTTTCTAATGTGGTGCTGAGGAATCAAACCCAGGGCCTGGAGCATGCAAGGCAAGTGCTCTACCACTGAGCCACCTTCCCAGCCCTTCATTTGATTCTTAAGAAGTAGTAATTCCAATATGTTTAAGAACTATTCATTTCTTGTCTAACCCGTTGGTCAAAAGAAATTTAGGTTGAGCTGGGCACTGGTGGCTCACACCTGTGATCCTAGATACTCAAGAGGCTGAGTTCTGAGGATCATGATTTAAAGCCAGACAGGGCAGGAAAGTCCCTGAGACTCTTAAATAAACCACCAGAAAACTAGACATGGTGCTGTGGTTCAATGGTAGGGCACTAGCCTTGAGCTGAAGAGCTCAGGGACAGTGCCCTGAGTTCAAGCCACATGACCGAAAAAAAAAAAAGAAACTGAGGTCGAAAGTACATTACTTCCAGAATTTCAACCAGTTCTCCAGATTGCACTGCTTTCTATTGATAGGGACTTGAGAGATTGTTTCAAACGGTACTATGAATGAAAGGAGGAGGCCATGGCACTTGACAGGCTCCAACTTTTGGAGTGGTGTGTAAGGGTTACGCGCCACCCACTTGGGAGGCTGCAACAGGAGGATTACAAGTCCAAGACCAGGTCCTGTTTTGGCATTATTAACTTTCAAACTTTCTTGAAGCTTGAGATTCCTCCTTTGTAAGACAGAGACGACAATATCCATTTCTGAAGTTCTTATTAAAAAGCAAAACCAAAAAACAGTTCACGTATATTGTTGGTAAAAATGGAAAACAACGTGATCAACAGCGAATCGGGTTAAATGAGATAGTACTGGCCAAGCACGTCAGACCCTGCCTGCCCAGAGCAGGTAGACAGGGAATGAACAGGCCAATTGTTAGTCGTTTATCAGAGCTGCTTCCTCTCCGTCTCGGAGGAGCTCCAGGCTGTTTCTGTCACAGAATCCCCCAGATCCCTTCTCTCTCCCAACAAAGCCTTGCTCTTCTCCTGCCAGGCCCCTCCGCCCGCCTCTGCAGGGCAGCTCCCAAGCGCCAGCCGGCTCCAGCCTCGCGGACACCCGGGCCGCGGCCCCTGCGGGCCCCCAGCTCCCGCCCGGCCCACACCGCTCCCCCGCCCCGCTCCCCCGGCGTGACCTACCCGTCTGCACAACACTGAGCCGGATGGTCCCCACCAGCCCATCCACATCGGGTGGGTTCTTCACCTGGCAGGTGTAGGTGCCATTGTCATCAAACTGCAGCTTCCACAGCATAATGGAGGCGTCATACCGCTCGGGGTTCCCGACCCAGACCACCCGGTCCTTGAACCGCCCGTTCTTGGGTGTGAAGGGATCCAAGTGGTAGTAGAATACCTAGGGAGAAGGGAGGAGGCGCTGGGCGCGGGGACGGACGGGGCCGCCGGCCCCCTTCTCACTAGCCCCGTCTTCTCCGAGCTCCGCGCGGGTCTCCCCCGAAACACCCCAAGTTATCGACTTACGAACTGCTCGGGGCCCCCATCCCGAGGCCGGAAGTTCCACGTCACGGTCAGCGCGTCGCCCACCGGCGCGAAGCTGGAGAAGGTGCACTTGAGCCGCAGGTCGGTGCCGTTGACCGCCTCCAGCGCCCCGGACGTGTAGATCTCCACCGCCGCCGCGGACCACAGCGCTGGGGCGAGGAGAGCAGCGGGTACCGGCCTGGCCTGGCCTCGTCCCGCCGGG